CCTGGTCGTTGGAGGTGAGTCGTGCGGCGTAAAGATCGAGCTTGTTGACCGAGCTGTTGCAGGAGGCGTGGGGCAAAAGGTTCTGGAACGTGGTCGAACGCGAGGAGTCTTCGGGGGCAATTCCACTGGATCCAGTTCAGGTTAGTGACTGGGTTGTAGCTAACAAACAAATGAAAAAATATTAGTTTAATAACAACATTAATATAATAATGTAATATACGCACTATGTAATGTAAAAATAATGTATAATGTGGAACAAAAATTAGTGTCTATAGTTTTCAATAGTATTATCTAATATCTTTAAATGATTACATGTCAATGGTTAAAAATTAATAAATTTCACGTTGAAATTTCTGTATGATAATAAATAAATAATAAATTTTGTATTAATAAAATATTAAATGATACTTTAATAAAATTATTAAATTATCTTTGAATAACTTTTATTTAACTTTTAAAATCGCAATATAATTTTTTTTAAATAATTAAAAAATAGAAGAGTATTATAACATGTTAATTTAATGGTTACTGTCTCTTTTAACCTTTCAACTATAACAAAAAATTTATTTTAATAGTTTTAAGTGATAAACTTTTTAGAAAAATAAAAAATAAAATTTTTAAAACATATGAGATTTTATGAAATATATATTTTTTAAACATATTTTTATGAAATTTTTTAAAAATTATAAAATACATTTTTTAATAGTTTATGATGATTATAAAATAATATATGTTTAGAATATAATTTTGGCTACACACTCTATAGACATAACTAAAAAATATTTAAAAAAATATTAACTAATAAAATCATTTAATGAGTTATAATTGAATAACTCAAGTATGGATGACGTTCTTTATTGATAACATTCTTTATTGACTTGACCGACTGTGAGCAAATGGCCAACTAAGATCAGTTACCTTATATGACCATTCATTTTCTTTTATTAATTTAGGTAAGTATAAGGTAGTATATGTTTAAAGATAACTTGTAATTTTTCGACTTTGAACTCTCACACCTCTGACATCTATAGTACTCGAATCTGGATACTCGATGAATAACAACAAATTTTTTTATCACGGAAGTCACTTGATTCATGCTTATATGACCATCCATGTTCATGGTTTACCCATAAATTTATAATAATTGATAAATTTCTTTTTGAATGGACTTGATAATTGATAAATATAATAGTAATCATACATATTTCTTGCTGCAATGAAAACTTTTCAGTAAGAAAATAAATTTGTTCAATAAAATTTGTATCGAATAAACATTGCAAATAGGGAGCGCCATTCTCCATTTCTGAACACTGTGCTACTATCTTTTAAATTGGAGAGAAACCAATCAGTAAATGGGCAGGAAATGAAGTCAGGCCATAACGTCTGCGGCAACCATATCCTTCCAGCAGCAAATACAATTTTGAAGGATGTGGTCTAAGTCTTCCAATCCTCTTCTACAGGTCGTGTACCGATCATCATTGGTCATGTGTCTTCTCCGTCTCTCAACATTGGTTAAAAGTCTGTCGTGAGCTGCCAAACAAAGAAAAACCCATGTTCGTTGAGGCAGATCAAAACGCCAAATTATTTCTAACATTCCTCTTGAGGTTGGTTTCTTGTACCAATGAGATGTTCTCGGAGGAGGGATGCTGAAAGTCAAATTCTAACTAATTCAATAATGCTGGTTCGATAATATTAATTTCCCCCGACCCTCAACATAGAATTTAAATATTATATTATATTAAGAAAATATTCATTTAATAAAACATGAAAAAAGGCAAAGGTAATTAAAGGGAATGTTATTTAGATTTTGGATTCGAACAATTGAGTCTGTTGGTTGTGTACACGTTGTCAATGGTTAAAAAGACTCTGACCCTTATAATCAACCAAGATTATTGAGAAGAAACATGGAAACAATGTAAATGCCCATTGTGAGTGATTAGCAATGAGAGTTTGTCTTCGTTTCTTTATATTGTACTATCCTCTGGTGCCTACTTTATTGGATTTTACAGATTGTTTACTTTGTGCAGCATTGCCACGGAAATCAGGAAGACATCTCCAGGTATTTCTTGATGGGAGACTCAACCAACAAAGAATGGGGTAGGTTTTCTTTTGCATTTTACATGCTTAGAGGAGACAAGAATTTATAAAAATGACCATCCAGCTCAGTTGGTAGAGCACAAGATTCTTAACTTTGAGGTCGTGGGATCGAGTCCCACGGAAGGCATTTCATAATTCAGAGGTCTCCTACGGAAGCTACTCTCCCCCTGATGTTGAGGGTAGCCTATTATCTTACCTCCCCTTACCTTATACATATGGAAAAAAGGGACAGCCATTAAGAGGAGACAAAAATTTTAAAACATTCCAATGTTTCAAGCTCTCATGATTCTATATTTTAGTCATCTGTATGTTTTGGAAAAGAATCAGGACGTAAGAGAGATTTTGGTACCTGTTTTCGTAGATATGCGAAGCTTACTGTAGATTAAGGTCCTTGTTATAACCTAGTGGCTGGCGTTTATAGATTCAGGCATTAATATTTACTTCTCAATATGCTTGACTTCTGTTGCTCTTAATCCTTAACCTGTATTAATTGTTAAGATATCTATTTAGTCTTTTTAGACCTCATACACAGTCTGCCTGCATAATTTACACATGCAGTATCCATGGAAAAAGAGAGATAACCATGATGTATGCATATGAGCCTGGTAATAGATGACAGTTGCAGTGATGCTATGAAGATCATCAAGCCAAATATGGGATCAGTTGGTCGGAATTCCGTCGGGCAGTAGTTGAAGGGCATCAAAGCAGACATGGGCAACTCAGGTTAAGGAAACCAAAACAGTCCATATCCTGCTCCTGGTTGCATGGCTCAAGCCCTATAGGTTATTTAAAAGATATGATCAAGGAAACCAAACTACCTTTCCCATTGGTATAGTAAATAAGCAGCACGAATCCGATATTTAGCTCAGTTGTTTCATATAGTCAACCTTCCGAGGTAGCATCTAATAGGTTTGAGAGATTTGATTTCCATTCTTAGTGAGAACATTGTGTGGTGGGACATTTTACGATAATCAGAAGCAAATATTGATACATGAGACAATACGGTGAAATATGGGTCCAGAGTCTAGGTTTGCCCAAAGCTAGCCTTTCGTTGGATGCCAGAAACTAATTTCCATGTCCTGGTTTCATGGTTGATGATGATCCATATTGAAAAAAGTTGAAAATATATAGTTGGTTAAACACTTAACTCAGATCCGCTAAAGCCAATGTACGTGTGTGCCATCAACCTAATAACGACGTAGATTACTATTCTCTTAATATATTTCCATCTACGAGCAGAGCTACTTACTCCAACTTAGATATTTTAAATATTAAAATAAATTTCAATTGAAAAACTAGATGGTTGCTTTGGCTGAGTGGTTAAGGCGTGAGTCTGCTAAATGCATAGGATTTCCCGCGAGTGTTCAAATCGCACAGGCGACGTATTTTTTTTTTTTAATTTGTCTATCAACAAGTTGGGCTCAGACTGCCCTTCTTATTTTATTTTCCTCAAGAAAAAATCTGTTTAGTCCTTAGAAATTAGATTCTAAGTCGATGGTTCGACAGACATATTAGGCAACTTTATGTTATATAAAATTTCAAATTAATACAAAAATTATTAACGAATTTTTTTATTTAATATTACTTAAGAATAAATATATTTGGTCATTTGATCGACTATTCAAATTATTTATTTTTGTTTCTTCATATTTTTTTGTCATAAATTTTAAATCTAGCAAAAATGTTTTTTTTTCTTTAAAAATTCCTTTGGCTCCTTTCTGATTAGAATTAAATTTAGTTATCAAATAAGTTTCTACCTTTCAACAGTGGTGTTGGTTTTTTCATGGCGATCTCCCTGTCATTTTTTCCAATTAATTATTATCTAATTTTATTAGTTTTCAATTATATTTTAACATATTTATAATAATATTTTCTATTGTTCATTTTTCTAATATTTTCTAATAAGGGTGTCATGGATATAAGTGTTTTTGGATTTTCGGTGTAAGTTTCTTTTATTGGTCTTATTCTAGGTTTTTCTTCTCTGTAGTTGGTATTTAGGGATGTTGGAGTGATCCGTTTCTTTGAAGGGTATCATGACTACTAATGTTTTTGGACTCCCGGTTCAGATTGCTTCCACTGGTCTTCTTCTTGGTTTGTGGTTCTTCGGGATTTCATGGTTGCTTGCTTTTTCGATATATGGTTCCTTTGTTCATTTGCATATGACATTCTGTTGGTTCTAGGATATATATGTCAAACAAAGACTGTGGTTAAAGGAAGATTCATTTTTCATTTGTTCACTTCGTATATCTTTCAAGTTTTCTTCCTCTATGTCTGATGTTTTGGAACATCATAGTGATCCATATCTATATGTTATTGCTACTACTGTTCACACTCTTACTTATCAGAATATCATTGACTGATCGCCATTTTATTTTACTTATAACAGTCCTGAATGTATTTATCATGTATGCATATGACAAGACGTTGGTGATGATGTTTTATTTAACCAATGAATATATTATAATTTTACTTTTAAAAAATAGAATTAAATTTAAGATTTATAAAAATAAAATTTCTTGATACAAAGATGTTAATTTGGTATAATTATTCATGTCATATTATATAATAAATGTGTAATTTTGAATGATATTTACATGGTAGAGTGGGCAGAATGCCACGTAAAACTTTTGAAGTGTATCCTAAAGATACAATGCCAACGACAGTGCCGTTTTCATGGCTTATTTTAATACGAAGAAGAAGAACAAAGGACGCCTCGTTTGTTGCCATAAACAAAACATCCGGCCGAAGTTCGCTCCTCTCCATTATCCCTTAACAAAACCCAAGAAACACCCGGATTTCGTTTCTTTCTAGATTTTCATGATTTGTCAAAACTAAACAAATTCGTTTCTTCTCTCATTCCTTGATATTTTCCATGTCTTCTCCTTGTTCTATAATTATCTTGCATGCTTTTGTGCCTCTTTCACAAATGAAAAGAAATTAGAAAGTTTGAAGGATTTGAAGGGAAAAAAATGTTGCAAAGAGCTGCCAGCAACGCTTATTCATGGTGGTGGGCAGGCCATATCAGAACCAAGCAATCAAAATGGATGGAGCAAAGTCTTCAAGGCAAGTTTTTTGTTAATAATTTATGGGGGTTTTTTATCTTTGCTTTTCTTATTTGATTGGGTTTTAAATTTATGAAATTTGATGGAAATAACACATTTAGATAGGTAAATAGAGTTTCATTCTGAATCCAGCATCTGTTCTATCTATGAATAATACAAATTGAATTGCAGATATGGAGGAAAAGGTAACGGCTGTGCTTAAAGTCATTGAAGAAGATGGAGATTCCTTTGCCAAGAGAGCAGAAATGTATTACAAGAAGAGGCCGGAATTGATTCAATTTGTGGAAGAATTTTACAGGGCTTACCGCGCCTTAGCCGAACGGTACGACCACATATCGACCGAACTACAGAATGCAAACAACACTCTTGCTTCCGTTTGTCCGGAGCGAGCTCAGTTTGCAATGGATGATGAAGATGAAGATGTTTCGCCCACATTCTCAAGGAAGACCCCAGCAAACTCTAAAGGCAATGTCCCCGGGATCCCAGACCTTCCTGTAAAAGATTTGAAGGGTTTGATATCATCAGCTAAAAAGAAAACGGAAGCTAAGCGACCGAAAGCCGCTACACATGCAGTTCCTAAATCCGGTTTGACCAAGGCTGAGGGACTTGAGGAGATTCATAGCCTTCAGAAACGGATCCTGGCATTGCAGACTGAAAAAGAGTTTGTTAAGGGCTCTTACGAGAGTGGTCTAGCAAAGTACCGGGCAATAGATGATGAGATAAAAGAATTGCAAGAGAAAGTTTATGGTTTGGTAGATGAATTTGGTGAAGGTAGGGTCATTGACGACGATGAAGCTCGAACCATGATGGTAGCAACAGCTTTACAATCGTGCAAAGGGACATTGACTCGGATGCTGGAGCAGCAGGAGAGATCGGTCTTGGAAGCAGAAGTGGAGCAGAAAAAGATCAAGGATGCAAGGGAGAAACTGGATTCTCTTAAGAACAAGTTTCTCGTAAACGAAGGCAGTCAGGTAGAACCATCTGATAGAGATAAATCGGGAATAGTAGCAGAAAAGTCGAAAATATTAGAACAAGAGGTGAGTGATACTACCCAAAAGAGAAAGGACATGGAGTCCTTAAGGCAAAAGATAAAGGAGCAATTTGAGGTTGGTCTTTCTGAATCTCTGACTGTAACAGAAATGGTGGAGAAGGTTGATGAACTAGTGAACAAGGTCATCAGGTTAGAGAACGCGATTTCATCTCACACGGCTCTTGTCCAGAGACTAAGAGCAGAGAACAATGAGCTTCAATCCCAGATTCAAACTCTGGAAGAGGATAAGGCCACATTGGTTGATGGGAAAAATGATTTGAAGAACAAGATAATGGAGATGGAGGAGAAGTTTTATGGGATCCAGGATTTGAATCAGCATTTCGAAGACCACAACAACAATTTCCAAACTCATTTTACTGAAGCACATTGTAATCTTGATCACCTTTCGGAAAAGGTCCATAGTATGAAGCCAGATGAGGAGGAGTTTGAAAGAGAGAAGAGCGAGGATAACAACAAAATGCCAAAGGAGGTGGAAGCAGGCCAGGAGTTCGTGGTAGCTAATGCATCAGAAAGGGATAATTCTCCAGCTGAAGTCAAATCCACAAAAGAGTCTGAAGAACAAGAGAGGAGGAATCTGGATGCAAGTAATGGCTTCAAAAATATACAGTCCGCAAAACAAGCGAGGTTCGTGGTATCCGGTTCATCATCAAAAGAGGACTCTGGGACTAAAGTGGCATTGCCAAAAGAATCAGAATCAAGGGAGGAACTGAAATTAGAAGCGGGCTCAAAAGAACATGATTCTGTTAAAACTTCTACAAATGAAGGTGTTCACCACGAAAGTAAGCCTTCAGTGAAATGTGAAGACTTGATAGCATATGACAAAGTTGGTACGCAAGCTCCTTTGCTGACAGTGGCTACTCTTGCTCAAGTTGAATCAACAGAACAGGAAATAGGACAAGGGGATGAGCCAGACTGGAAGCAGTTGTTCTCGGAAAAAATGGGAGACAGAGAGAAGAATCTATTGACAGAATATACCGCAACACTTCGGAAATACAAGGACACGAAAAAGAGGCTGGAGGAAGTAGAGGCAAATAACCAGAATATCGTGTTTGAGATTATGTTGCAGCTAAAGGAACTGAAGAGCACTAATTCCTTGAAAGATGAAGAGATTCAATCCTTACATCAGAAATTAAGCCTTTTACAAACAAGTATTGGTGAAAACAACAGTACTGATTCTGAGAAACCAGTAGTGACTAAAATCTCAACAACACTGCCACCAGAGGATGAAGATGTTGGACCGACGCTAGTTAACCATTCTTCGACTACTTCAGCAATTGAAGAAAAGTTCAGGATGAACATTGATGCACTGCTAGAAGAGAACTTGGAATTCTGGTTTAGATTCAGCACTGCATTTCATGAGATTCAGAAATATGAAACCAGTGTGACAGACTTAGCGGCTGAGGCATCAAAACTTGCAGAAAAACAAAAGAAAGAAGAGAATACCGCTAAAAAATGTACACTAGTATCAGACGTGCGACCATTATACAAACATCTGACAGAAATACAGAATGAACTGAAACTCTGGGTGGAAAGCAGTGTTTTACTGAAGGAAGAACTGAAGAAGCGGTTTTCATCTCTGTGTGAAATTGAAGAAGAGATAACAAAGGCTTTGAAAGCAAGTGCTGAAGATGACGACTTCAGCTTCACAAGTTACCAGGCAGTGAAATTTCAAGGTGAGATTTTGAACATGAAACAAGAGAATAACAAAGTTGCAGACGAACTGCAAGCTGGTTCGGATCGTGTTACAGCACTTCAGATTGAAGTCGAGAGAAGTCTGACAAAATTGAATGAAGATTGTGAACTTTCCGGATCAAAGATCCTTCAAGGTAGCCGAATGCAACAGTCACGTAGTTGGTCTGGGGTTCCTTTGAGGTCATTTATCTTTGGTGCCAAACCAAAGAAGGAAAAGACATCGATCTTTTCCATCGTACACCCTACACTGCATCGGAAGTTCAGTAGTTCAAGATCAGGAAGTACCAAGAAATAGGTAAATGGATTGGTTGCTTGTGTAAAGTTATACTATAAAGTCACCCCCTCCCCTTTTCTCAAAGTTGCTTTCTTCCTTTTAGTGATACTCTCACAGAATGCAGCAGTTTTCCTTTTCTCATCTTGTTTGTGAACTATTAAAATCACTTTTTCTGTTGGCTGTAGGTGTTTCATTTCATAGTATATACTTACAAATATAGTAGAAAAATACATATATTTCTATCCTTCATCCTCAAAAAAAAAAAAAAAAATCAGACCGGATCGGATGTGGGCATCGGATAGGGGTATATGTTTACGTTTTTCTTAGATTTCCATGTATTTGGAGAGTCCTTAGAGGATTATATCTCCACATCAAATCTGAATATGCATTGAACACGAGTCAAACAAAGGAATTTCAAGAAATACGAAAAGCCGAAGCAACATAGATCCCTGGACTTAAAACCACGCAACTGTTTGACTGAAAAACTGTATTACTTTCTATATGTACTTTCTTGTTTCTGTGGAGATATTTAACCTGGAAAGAAAAGCTATTTTTAATAAAATTGCTGTTATTTGCCTAGTATAATTGCAGAGCTTCAATTCACGTACAGTAAGCATCTGCAGCAGTCTTAGATTTCTTATGAACAAGTCTCTTATTGATCAGCAAATGAGACCTCTGATACAATCCTGGCTCCCCTTCCCTTAGCCATGTATAGACCTATGTGATGCATAAGATCCTTCCATAGAAAATTTTTCAAAAAAGTTTCCTATCAATAAGAAAGCAAGCAGGCCAAGATTCTTCTTCTTCTTCTTATTACTTTATTTTATATACATTTCTTTAGGTTATTGATACTACTTTGTAGGGACCAAAACGTAGTTTGAATCAAACGTAAAATATAAGCTGTTAGTTAAAAACATTGATCCAAATGTGCTAGGAAAGTGAAACTTTAACAAGGATTATAGAAGCAACACAATAATAAGACATTGGGTGCAAAAACTGGTTTTGAACATCAAAATTAAACCAAAAACAAGGGCATCAGTGATTTTGAGGTACCTGTGGATGAGCCAGAGCACCACCGATATCTTTGGCGACATGAACCGGAAGATCGAAAGTTGCACAAGCACCGGAGTAGACAATCACATCCTCGAGTGGCGTAAGCATCCGGCGATTTCGAGCAGACAGAGCTGAACATACAAAATCCAGTACACATATATCCGTACATATGCCGACAACCAGTATCTTCAAAATCCAAACAAGGTATGTATGTGAGAATAGACCGAAAATATTACATAGCAAAGAGAAACAAAGTAAGATACTTACAGCTTTAACCTGATTCTTATTAACCCAATCCACAAACAAATTGGAACCATCTTTGTCAACTGAACCAAGGAAACCATCAATGCTATCTTTGCATCTAAGCGTTGCATTAGCCTCGTTCTCAACCCATCGGAGATCTATAATACATAAACATGGATGCTACTGAATTCATCTAAACAAAAAGGATCAAACATGTCTAAAATAGAATTACCACATAATCATTGAAAAAAAAAATTACCACATCAATAGTTATGTCAATTTTTTAATGACGGATGTCAAGTTGAAACCTAAACTAAACGTGATTCACGTACTTTATAAAAAACATAAATTTTCAAATATTTTTTTAATTTTTTATATTTATCGGAATCATTGTTAGAAATATTACAAATGTATCAAACTTAATCTTTTAATTATACATTGAGGGCCTAAAAGAGATATTAACCATTAAGTTAACAAGTTATGCCATCTCCTACAGATAATATTATAGTGATCATTTTAATACAAAATTGTAATAATCATTTTATAACTTTCTAAAAATGTAATGGCTAAATTTAAAATCTTGTATTTACCATATATATAGATATAAAAGTGTGGGTGGGCCCAGGAAAAAAATGTGAACTGAAGGCCTAAAAACAAAATACAAAACAAATACAGTCAAGCAAAAACTGAGATCCGATTTGTTTGGTTTTCAAGTCATAGATGTCTTCTTGCACCAACTTCCTTTGTCCTTTTCTCCCTCGTCAATCATCTATAACTTTATTTTCTTAATAAATTTTAATTTTAATTGTATTCTTAGTGGGCTGAAACGCATCACTTCAAAAACTATGAAAGAATAGAGACAAACGATTTAATTAATCGATCAAATATGTTTACTCTTTAAATATATTCTTATATAAAACGATATAAGAAAATTTTATAAATTCTAAATATAATGATACTCCAATGTTATATATAAAAAATCAAAATTTTACATGTTTAAATTTTTATGACTAAATTTAAACTTACAAAATTGAATTTTTTGGATCAAAATTTACCTATATAAAAAATATTAGGATAAAATTCAAAAATAGTCCCCAATTATAAGGAACTATTTTATTGAATCTCTTGACTGTTAAAAGTTATAAAATGATCCCCGATTATAGGAAGTTAATTTGTTGAGTCCCTCGATTATTAGAAGTTACAAAGTGGTCACCTGACTATTTATGCGTTCCAAATTTGTACTTTTTTGTTAAAAAGTGATAACAATATGAGTTTGACGTTAACATATTGACTAAGATATGATATTCATTTGAGATTTTATGATCAAATTTTATCGTATCACAATCAACAGGTTAACGTTCAACTCAAACTACAATCAATTTTTAATAAAAAATAACGAGTTTAAAACATATAAATAATTAGATGATTATTTTATAACTTTTAATAGACATGGACTCTACAAACAATGCTTAATAATTAATGGACCATTTCATAATTTTTAATAGGGTAAATTACACCGTTCCTCATTGAACTATACTCTCTCTCCTATTTTCCTCACCCAACTTTCAGTTTGATCAATTTGCTTACTAAACATTACAATATAACTATTTTGCTCACTTAACCGTTTTCTCTCTAACAGCTGTTGATGTGATTTTTTATATTATTATTTAATGTAAAATAATTAAAAAAATAAAATAAAAACAAGGTGACCATGTCACCACCGAACACTGTTGATCGCCGTAGATGGTGGTCGTTTGGTCCTAAAATAGGATGGGTCACTTTGCCTCAACATCTTGAGTCTGAATCCAACCTCCATTTTGTCGGAACTTGCTCCGAAGTTCACATATTTGAGATTGAAAGTGAGGAAAACGAAACGTTTCAGTCAAACTTCACGAGTTTTTGGTCATTTTCCGGTGAAACAATCACCATATTCGGACTCAGGAGATCGAGACAAACCGACCCATGAAATTTGGGACTGAACGACGACCATCTACGATAGTCCACGGTGGCTGGAATAAAAATGACGTAGTGGCCGACAGAGAGAAAATGAAGAAGAGAATGAAAAAGGGTAAATTACATCATGAGTCACTGAACTTTACTTTCTATCCTATTTTACTCACCGAAACGACATCATTTTGGAGAATATTTGAGTTTTTAAAAACAATGTCGTTTTGATGCCTGTGCCACGTCATAACACCGTTAAATAGTAAACGACATAGTGAGCAAAATGATTCAATCTGTAAAATTCAGTGAGCAAATTGATCCAATTGAAAGTTGAGTGAAGAAAATAGGAGAGAGAGTAAAGTTCAGTGAGAAACTATATAATTTACCCCTTTTCATGAACGATGTAAATCAGACGAAGTCGTAGTTCTCAACTTGGCCGGCCCTTTCCTTTTGACTATTCGCTTGAGGTTCACTAGTACTTCAACTTTAAAATAATTAAATAGGTTTTATGACTCATTTTTAGGATGTTTGTTATAAAAGCATAAACTTTCTATGTTTCAGAAAATTTTAGACATTGACAAATAAAAGGCGGAGCAAATTACTAATAATCTATTGATAGTGTGATGATGTATTAAATATCTCAAATAAATTTAAGAGTTTGAATCTTGATATTTATGAATAGAAAAAACTGTAGGTTGAACGTTTTGCTCTTATAATGGACTTTTATTAAATCTGATCCGAAATAGTCTATCAACAATACAAATGGATTAAAAGAAGGTGAGAGTCCTAGATGGAGCTTTTGAGTTGTTTGAAAATTCTATCTTAAGTAATGACTGGTACGGAATTGTCTTTTTTTTTTTTCATCTTAAGTGCCAAATTTTGTGCAACAATTTTCAATGCTGACTGTTTACATTTACACCCACCCATACTGTATTTTTTTCATCTTAAGTAATGGACTCTTATAATGCTGACTGTTTACATTTACATTTTCAAGAGGAGATGCATTCAAATCTGTTTGGTACCCTTATCATGCTCGGACGCATGCTGACATTGTGAGTAATGCACATGGAAGCTGTTAACATTGCCCGTTTCATTTCACTTTGATCGAAATCGTCTCCTAGTCGAGGATCGACCAGCTCCCTTACTTCGTTTCTTTCCAGGAGCGGTTTTGCCTGTAAATGAAACAGAAAACAAGTTGTTCGAATGCTATTGTTAATTGAATGACGTCGGGTGCAGAAGATGTACCCAAATCACAAGGCTTTGTCTGGCTGAATCGACTGCACGCCGACCTGTTATTATCTCCAGCAACAGAACTCCGAATGCGAACACATCGATCTTTTCATTAACGATTCCGTGCATAAAATACTCTGGAGCTAAATACCTGCAGACATATGCCTCACGTTTATGACTTTTATGAAATCACCAATGCTACTTACAAGTTGACTGCAGACAGTAAAGGAACTGTATGCCTAACCCGAATGTTCCTTCAATGGGATGGACAACATGGTGAGGCCAATTTTCCGGAAGCCACTTTGCCAAACCAAAATCTGATATCTGCAACGAGAAGTCGGGTGTTTTTTTCGACCGAATAGTATAAACTTAAGCCATTTACAATGTAAAGATATACATATCAAAGCATGGAAAGCACCTGAGCTTCATAATCCTGGGTGAGCAGAATGTTAGAGGCTTTAATGTCTCGGTGTATAATGCGCCTCTGACAGTCGTGATGGAAATATTTCAATCCATCTGCTATACCAATGGATACCTTAAACCTTGTCTTCCAGTCTAGGCGCTCAGGTGAACCTGTAGATCGGATTATTTCCCCCATTAGTGCAGTGGTTATGAAATCGTCGACCAGAAAATATAATTACCGGACTAAACCAGAACAAGTGCAACCATTTTGGTTCAACTCTTTTCTTAGTTTTCCCTTGATCAATTCATACCAAAAAGAACAGAAGAAAGGCTGCCATGAGGGGAAAACTGAAGAACTAAGTGAAAATCTCCATCGATGCTGAATCCGATTAAGCGAGCTGCATTCGGGTGATCTGTGTGAGCAATAATCCCAAGTTCGGACAAGAAATCATTCACTCGATCCTCCTCTTGTTTCTCATTCTTCATTAGCTTCTTCACTGCTACAACTTGACCATCAGGTAATTTCCCCTTGTACACCTCCGCATGCCCACCTTTTCCGAGCAAATTCTCTGCAAAGTCAATAGTCCATTTCATAACCATGAAAGAAATTGAAACAAAAATTTAAGGTTAAAAATCTGTTGCTTACCAGGACAGAAATGGTCAGTAGCAGCAGCAAGTTCCGAGTAGGTAAAATGTTTCCATGATGGCTTAGGCACTGCCATGAGATCAATACCGACGTCTTGTTCCTCAGAGGTATGGAGTTTTGTTAGCTTCGACCTCCTTGAGTTCTTCCTGGAAAGATCATAACTTGGCAGCAGAGGAATAAGAGAGAAACTTCTCTTCTTAATATTTCCAATTAAATTCTTCCACTGCAAACCATAAGAATCTGGGTTCACTTTTGTTTTTGGAGAAAATGAAGTAGAATTGCTGCTGCAGCTGCTGGTATCGGAGTCCGATCCCACCACAGGTATCTCCAGTACACATCTTGGCGATGGTTGAACGTTCACCGATTCACTTCTCGTCTCTAGTTCAGGGTTTTTATCTAATTCCATCGTCTCTGCACCAACAAAATAAAATTAAACCCATTTCACTTCAACATGAAAACTGTCGGAAAAAACGACAGGAATAACCGGTGAGAAACCTAAAGCCCTAAAATGAAAAAGAAGCCTCAAGTACCTTCCATTGCCATTATTCAAGTAGCACAAAAACTTTCAATTTTCAATTGAATTTCCTCTGGAAAAGGTTTTTTTTTTAATTTACTGTTAACAATCACACATTTTCAAGTCTTGAGCCAACGAATTTAAGATAGAGAGTGGTTTTCAAGGAGAAGAATGGCTCAGAGTCGCTGCTATTTATACACACTTCTGTTTCTTAAATTTTATTAAAACAAAAATATCCAAACTTTATTCAAATTTGTTAATTATTATCTTTTTAATAATATGATTAAAAGAATAGTATATGTTCATAATTTTTTTTAATTATTGATTGATATATCATATAAATACATAATTAATTAAAATATTAATTTAATAAAACAAAAATATAATTAAACATAATATAAATCATATTTAATTATTAAAACAACTTCATCTATTTAATATCAGGAAGAACAAGTTAATTTATTTGAGAAATAAAATCATATGGGACAGCATATGTTATTGTAAAAAAAATCCTGACCGTTGGATTTTAGCGCTCGAGATTTCTGCCGCAACTAACGCTTGCAAAAGGGGGAGGGACAAGTTAACGAACCGACCAACGGTTGGTAGCTGTTAAGAGTCGTTGAGGGTGTTTTAGGTACAGAAATGCCATTTTAATGTGGTGGGAATTTATAATTATTAATTATAAAATTAATATTTCAATAAATTAAATATATATTTTATTAGTTTAATTCAATATTTTCCCTTTATAGTATATTCTTTTTTTTATCAATTTATTCTTTGATCTATTATTTTTATCTCATTTTATCTTAAAATTATTATCATTTAATAGGAATATGTTACATCTCATATTTTTTATTTTAATTAATTTAAAGGATACACTTAAGAAATAATTTAATATATATATATATATATATATATATATATAAAGAGAGAGAAATTATAAAATAAATATTTTTTAAAAACAATTTTACAGGATGGGATATGAAATGAAAGCTTGTAGGGCGAGAAGGGTTGATTAATGAATTAGACAGAAAGCAATAAAGACAAAATCAGGGATATCAAAAGCTTGTAGGTCTAACTCTGGTCTCTACCTTTAGTTTAGTGAAACAAAAGAAAAGTTCGGAGCGTGGAATTTTATTTTAATTTATTTCTACACCCATTCAAATATAGTTAGCAGCGGTCTCAATTAGCATTGGATTGCATGCTCTTCCTTGAAAACATATTATAATGGACCACAATACAAAAACGTTCAAAAAAATATATTTATCAGAAAATTTTTAAACAATGGCGTAACATGAGTGGGGTTAGTGGGGGCACCAATCAAGTGACCTATGTGAAAAAAATTGTTGTTATTTTTGAAGATCTGAGTTCGAGATCATAGATGTTAGGAATGTCAACGATCAATTTCGAAAGTTTGAGAATTTATATTTAATTCAAATTACACTTTGAATGTTTTTAATTAAATATCCTCTCATAATTTTAAAAAGAATTCTCATGAAGCCTCTCGAAATTTCCAAAATTTTAATCAGATCCTATTTTTTTTGGAAAAAAAATGTAATCTAACCCTTCAAAAATTTTAATTTAAACCTATGAACTTTTATAGTTTTAACTTTTAAGTTGATCCATAAACTCTATCACCAAGTTATACCATTGTTTTTAAATATATTTGATATTGAAATCTGAATAAATGAATTTTTACGGGAAAAAATCGTAGTGATGACGTAACGAAAGATAAAGATTTATTTTATAGAATTAGAAAATTGTACCAAGGATTTGTTAAACAATTATCCAATCAAATTATATAAATATATGGTATTTAAGTATAGAAATATAGAATAAATAGATGCAATGATGTTACGGAGCAAATGGTAGTAGGAATCCATCGCAATCAAGCCCCAATTTATGAACACTTTTATGTAATTACTTAACTAATCAAAACTCCAAGACTTTGCTAAGTCAAACTACACAAGTCATGTCTCATGAAGTTTTGGTCAAACTTTTTCGACTACTTAATGCTAGGAATTGATTGCGGCTCATCACATTCCAAGAAGATGTTATCTGAACATTTAATTTCTGTAAC